AGGGTTTGTTTACTTTCGCAAATCGGTATGGTAATGTATGGCTCTATTGACAGTTGGCGATAAAATATATTATGTTTTAACACTATACACATTTTATTTTAAAAGAAAGTGTGAATGGGTGTTTCGTTTATAAATTGTTCCTCAAAAAAATAAACATAAACTTAAATTTTAACATAGTTTTCAAACACGCAACACAATTTTTATTAGATTGAAAGATAATTTATTTTTTGTGTTTCCTTTCGATTAAACACCATTAGATTATTTTAATTAATCGAAATCGAATATAAAAATTAAAAATAATCGATTAATCGTTTATCGATTTAAAAAATAAAATAATCTTTTAATCGATTAGGTATCGATTTACAAAAATAATCGATTAATCGAGCCCATTGGGCATCCTTCTAAGTAGATAAGCACCTTCTAGCTCGTGAGCCAGTCTACAGATATAAAGCTGTGATAATGTAGTTGACAACGTCGTCAATAGGTACTTCTCTTATATCGAGTTAAGGAATACCTACACCACTGGTAGCTTTCCCTTTCGTTCTTCCTGATAAGAACCGGCATACTGATGTGTCAGGGATTCCCAGCATGTATCTGCGAAGTGCATCATTATTAGATAAAGACTGATATTTTGTTGAATATTATTTTATCATAACTTATCTATTAATATTACTAACTCGTATTTTTACCAGCATTAATCTTTTATGTCTTAGTATTTTTCCAACGCATTATTATAAAAACCTAATGTACGTTGATATCACTTTCTTATTTTGTAATCTGCTATTCTAGAATAAAGTTGTTTTCTATATAGTTTATGAGTTATTCAAAATAATTAACCAAAAACTTTAAAAATATATATAATTATCGGCCGGTGTTAGCCAATTCTCGCCGAACACAAATCTTGATAATCTCATCTTCTTGTTCGTACCCCTTGCAGAGTGCGGATTCTGACAGCCCCATGATATGGAGATGCTTCCGTACTTGGCAATGTCCAGTGAGAACGCCTGTGATAAGACACAGATTCTGTCTAGTCATAGTCAAGTATTTGTTCGCTACAGGATTGTCAGGATAACTCAAAAGCTCCCTGGCAAGTCTACAGCTTCTTGTTTCACCCCATCTTTCCTTGAATCTCTCAAGGGAAAGTTCTTTAATTAGGTTTGTCACTACCAATGTTGCCAGTCCAAACAGTATTTGGTTGGGTGCCTTCTTTCGATGTGGCGTGACCTTTGATCCGTCTTAAATATACCACATTGTTGATGGATACCTCGTCCAAAGCTTCGTAACATTCTAGTACTAACCCTGAGTAAATTCATGGTCTGTCCAGGACGAGTAGTACTTATCTGCTATATGTATAGATGAGCATGTTTCTTCCAGTGATATTATTTCTGGTGATTTCTTTTGCTGCTATGAGAATCCGCTTGAGGTCGGTTTGAACTACACTGGCACTACTGCCCACAACCCATTTTATGTTTAGGTTTAGGTATCTGGAGTTTATTCCACATCCTTGAAATGTTTTAGAATCGTCGATGTAGATATGAATTATTATTTGGAGATTATTAGAATCCTTGAGTGTTTTCCTAATAATAATCATGAGTATGTTTTTACAAATTTTTGAGTTTTCATCATATTGGCGTATATAGTTTAAAAATCGGTAAAACAATACTACTAGTTTATTATATTCGAGTATCGCAATAATTCACAATTTTAGTGTATGCTTCCTCAAAAGACATTAGCTTCGAACAAAACAGTGACGCTAGACACGAGGTGACCAGATAAACCGACATTTGAATTGATCACGTGGGGAGTTTTAACTACATTTATAAAGAATATAAAAAAATGTCTAATATCATATCAGTTATTTTAATAGATTTATAAGTCGTTAAAATTCGTCAAAATTGTGGTTTTTTTAACCTTTTTCAAAATAGTTTTCTATTATTTTTTCTTTAATTGGATATTTTTGCTTTTGCATTTATCAGTAATGTGAAAAAGCCATATATTGTATTTGAAACTTTTTTTGGTCCAATGTAAGGTTTTTGTAAAGTGTTTTCTTATAATAGCAGCCACAACAAATATAAATTGAGCAACAGATAATTCTTTTGAAATTAAATTTTTGAGCTGTGATTTAATGTTTCTGTTGGTTTCATTTGAGTCATGATTTCTCTTAAATTGTTTAGGAATTCTAGTCGATTTTTTAAATCTATTTCGTTTAAAATTTAGATGTATTTTTCAAGCAAAAAAAAACAGTTGGACGCATTGTTGCATTTGTCAGTAGATTTGAAAAGTTTTAGGGTCTTATAAAATCTCTCTATCATGTCATTTTTGGTTCTAGAATGACAGAACCATTAAAGTATCTTATAAAGCTTCTTCGGGAAGTTAAAGTTACTGTAGGAACCCTAAAGTAAAAAGAAGTGCAGGATATCCATATTCAAAGGTACAAAGCGAAAATGCAGATACAGTCTGTTCGCTATACTTACGCGGGTTTCGGATTAAAATTTTTGTGAGTATTTCCAGGTAAGTACCCGAAAGTTTGACCTGTTCTTTGGGGAAATATCAACTGGTTAAATGAAATGAAAAATAATGTACAACTTTTTAATTAAATAATAATGGAGAATCTTTTGTATAATTGAGAGCAGAATTAAACTTCTTCATTAATGGAGTCTAATGTGGCTATTATAAACCTAATAATAATTTTATATTACACTTCACACAGAAAATATGGTCTATGTATAATAAGAGGGTTATTTAGCTCAAATAAAATATTTTCTAACATAAAAATTTATTCCATGTAGAGAATTTCAAATGAAAAATAAAAAAATGAACTTGCCAACAAAAATGAAAATCAGTCATTAACATCCAAAATATCATAATCGTCATCATCATCACTGTCATCACCATTAATTGTTATTATGATTGAACTTATTTCGTTTATTTTATTTTCACGAGTCCACCAATCTTATATTAGTTTCTCGCACTTGGATATACAGTTCCGCCACACTTCTGGAGTGCTTTTCGTCAAGTTTCCCGAACTGCGTCGTCACTATAACCATTAGGCCCAATATGGTTGTCATAATTTTGTTTTGCTATTCCCCATATATATTCGATAGTATTAAACTGGCAATGATACGGTGGCAGACGTAAAACTTGTTATATTAAATCAGCACCTTCTATAAAACCCGATTTCCCTCCTGCATATAAAATGATGTGTCGCTTCCCTTCTCCATCGGTATGTTTGATGGACTTTACGTTCTGTTATCCTCCTTTTGAAATTTGAAACCCAAGTTATGTATCACTTGCCATAGACTTGTTCTGCCAATGTCGTCAAATTTTCTATCTATTAATTCTGAGAGAATTGTATTTAAGGTCACATGTTCCTTGTTGGCCCTCATTCGGTAAATGGTATCACGAATTTCAAATTTCTTTCCATCTGGAATATCTTTCGTTTTCAATGACGGGCGAGTTTTGCGGTGATCTTCTTTCGGCAGTTCACTATTGTTATTTTGTAATACTCCTCTTAATTTGGTTTCACTAATTCCTAGAGCATCGCATACGCGTTGTTGTACAGACATTACCGATTTTAAAGGACCGTCATTTTCTTTTTCATCCGTAAAATACTTATGTACACTACCAATTAGACTATCTACATCTAACACACATCTAGGTATTTTTAAAATTTCCATTAAATTTACAATATACATACAATGTCAACACTTGCAAAGAATCAATTCAACTGCAATATTTGTAACAAATTTAGTACCTACCTTAATGTTATTTTAATTTAAATCTGACCATTAGGGCAATTTTACCTAATTTTTTGGGAAGCGGCTTATTGGAACTGGTTGTCAATGACTAATTTGCATAATTTTGTTAATCCGAAACCCGCGAACAGACTCTGTACCATCATTCATCATAAAAATGTAAAAAAAACAGTGGGTTATAATAATACGTAAAAATGTGGTACATCCAATAAATAACAGCACATTATATTAACCTTATTATTAATGGAGTACTACAATAAACGATACAAATAATGACTATGAACAAGTCGCTGATGCAACGATAAGTAAATAAACAACTAATGGTTCGTTCCTTTTGGCCACAACACGCGTAACAGATCTACGGATACGCTTATGCTCAATTATATAACGGAATGCTGAGCTGCTTGTAGAGCTCCAAGCATTACCACCCAGTTCGCCTGATTTGAATCGGTTTGGCTTTTGCAATTACGCAAAACACTATGGCCGCGCTTTATTGCGAGCAAATCAGTACTGGTTGTTACTTTTGTTGTTTAAATTAACATTCCTTGCTTCGGGTTCCATTGATTTTGGAGTAAACAAACAGTTGTAGATGGGTTCGGTTACTAATTATGAAAACAAACTATACACATTTTTTGGAAAATTCTAAATACATTTTTCAAAATTACCCAATGAAAATTATTTTTGAACCCACATCCAGAGTGAAAACAAATTTATAAAAAAAAATTGAAAAAACTGTTTCAGAAAGGATTTGAACCCTACACATTCTCGTACTAAGCACGCTGCCTTATCAGACCCAAAGAATTTATAAACAAAAAGAATTAAAAATGAAGTGTCACATATTTGATAATCTTTAATGAGGTGTTCATCTACCAATAAAAAATACAATAAAGAAATTACAGTAACGAATATAAATTTGAAAAATATTGTTACATTAATTTGAGAAATTATTGAAGCGCAATTCAAGCACTTACAAATAACTATTTTAAAAACAAAAAAATAATAAAGATACAATATTAAAAAACTTTAATCCGGATTTGGAGTTGTGTGTTAAAATTTATCTAAATATTAAGTCTGTTCCACTACCTTTTTAGCTTTTCATTAACGACATATATATGAAACGATTACAACCAAAATTGCTATATCTTTTGACAATAACTTCGTTTTAGTAACATTGTCTGCAATCTGCAACTACTTACGATTTTTACTAGGAAACAACAAGATACTAATATTATATTGTTTTATTCCAGAATGAGGAAGATTGGTAAAGGAACGTAGTCGGCAACGTAACCCAGGAACATCCGATAGAAAAGAAGCCAAAAATACTAACATTAGAAACGTAAAAGACACAATAAAAGACAAAAATGCCTGCAGTAATTTCGAAATTCCTTGAAAAGGGAGAGCATACCTTCCAAGCCAATAAAAGCGTATTCTCAGGAGCTGTGCTAGCCGTAGCTCTATGCACCTACGCTTATAAAATAGGTTATCCCTTTGTGGACTCCCTAATCCACAAACCCAGCAAAGAGGAAGACATCCAAGTCACCGTAAACAACAACCACATAGTGTCCAAAAATGGAATGGTTAAAAACGGCGTGGTCAAGGGAAAAAACGGTTTACTTAACGGAAAAGTCAAATCCAAACAATTAAAAGGCCGAATCAAAAACGGTATACCGAATTTCAATTTAGCCTTTATATTGCAATTTATCAAATTAGTTAGAATAATGATACCGAACGTTTTTTGTAATGAAGTGGCTCTGTTGAGCGGACACACTATGTTCTTGTTTTTGAGGACTTTTTTGAGTATATACGTAGCGAATTTGGAAGGGGCGATAGTTAAGTATATTGTGATGAAGCAGCCCAAGAGTTTTATAAGGCAGCTGATGAAATGGTTCGCTGTTGCTATCCCAGCTACTTTTATCAACAGCATGATTAAGTGAGTAACAGTTTCATTTTTTTTAAGTTGATCAATGAGTCATTTTGTTCTAACCTAACTAAAGATCCTTTTTATTTATTTAATTAATTTATTTATCTAGTTAAATATTTCCTTAAGAAAATATTATATGTAGTGGAAATGGTCATAATAAACAAAAATGGCAAATGAAGAATGTGGTGTTTTATGGTTAGATTACTATGACATTAATTATTGTTGTAGACAATTTCTTAAAAATTAAATCAAATTTAAACTCAAAGCAATGTGTCACAATAATAAGAGCAACATTTTCTCTCTTGGCTCATCAGCAAAAATTAGTCTTTCTCGACTCCAGTCTCTAATAGAGTCTGTCGGCTATACAAAGTTCGCTTGCACACATTAACATAGGCTAAGAGCGGAATGGGACGTTTCGACGCAGCCGTTTCGACGGGGCCGTTTCGACGCGGCCGTTTCGACGCAAGGACATTTCGAAGCCGGCAGATTCGACGCCGGGCCGTTTCGACGCGAAATGTAAATTTTTTTAAGTAGGTAATAAATTATTCAAAAAAATATTTGAAATGTCTATTTTTTTGCAGATCTATTCTTTGTATAAAATTGGGCAATTTATCTTGTTCCTTAAATATTCGCAGTAAGCATTGATAGATAGCTGTAGTAAATATGTAACCATTAGCTGGTTTATGTTTTCATTTCTATGAAAGGCATAAACAATCTCTGAAAATTAGGTACCTAAAAAGATTTTTAATGAATTACCTAAATATTAATATTGATACATAATGTTATATTAAGTAGTTCATTATCCCATTATCCCAAAGATTTTTAATGAATTACCTAAATATTAATATTGATAGTATAATATTATATTAAGTAGTTCATTATCCCATTTTAGGTACCTGATCCTAGTTAGATTAAACAGTTAACTAATTTTTGATCTTAAACGTCGATAATTCATTTCCATTACAATATATATACAGGGTATTTCTAAATTCATGCGACAAAATTCAGGAGGTGATTGCTGGTGTAAAATTAAGGTGGGTCTTTCCTATAACAAAATTTCCTCAGCCCACCCCTTTTCGAGATATCACCCTTAAAAGGTGGTGAATAAATTGAGTTTTTATTTTTTTTCTACAATTTCAATAAAGCTAGAAACTTTAAATTTTGTAATTTTAGTGCACTCGCGAAGGACTAACCTCGGGTATTTTTTCAACATTATGAACCGTAATAAATTTTACATCTTTACTGTTTTCCACTCAATTTATTAAAAAAATTATAAATAATGGTGTTTATTTTTTTTTCCTTTGGAGCTATTGGTTTTGGGAAAAAAATTTAAAAATAATTTTTTTTTTAAATTAAACAAGGATTTTAAGTTATAATTTTATTTCATAAAATTTCATCACGAAAAAAAGTTTTGATATGAAATAAAGTAAGGGTTGTTAATTTCACCCCCCTATAATGTAACAGGAATATTGAAAAAATACCCGTGGTTAGTCCTTTGCGAGTGCACGAAAATTACAGAATTTCAAGTTTTTAGCTTTACTGAAATTTTAGAAAAAAAAAATAAAATCTCAATTTTAGCCACCACCTTTTAAGGGTGATATCTCGGAAAGGCGTGGGCTGAAGAAATTTTGTTATGGGAAAGACCCATCTTAATTTCATACGAGCAATCACCTCCTGAATTTAGAAAAACCCTGTATTTACAGATTTTGACGGACTCAAAACATTGGTTTGTTGATGGGACATTTAAACCAACTGCCTCAATTTTTTACCTACATAATTATGGCTAAATAATTTGGGGGAGTTCATCCTGTTCTTTATGCTCTCCTGCCCATCAAACGGCAAACTACATATGCCCGAATGTTTGGTATGATGGGACATTTACAGCCAGCTGCAAATCCGGAGAAGATTTCATACGATTTTGAACTGGGTGCCATAAACGTTTTCAAAGAAGAGTTTCCAAATGCCGAGCTGCTAGGTTGTTTTTTTAATTTGGTGAAAAATATAAAAAACTATTTGGCGCAAATGAATTTGCTGGGTCGATATAATACCGATACTGATTTCAGTCTTCATGCACGAATGGTGAGGTTTTTGGCATTTGTTCCTGAAGAAGACATAGATATTGCAATCGACCATTTATTTGGAGAATTGTCTAATGAGTTGTAACCTCTAATAGAATGGTTCGAGGACTCATACGTAGGACGTCCTCAACGACAGGGTCAAGGAAGGCGCAATCCACTCTTTTCGATCACATTGTGGTCTGTCTACAACCTCGTTTTGGAAGGTACAGACAGAACGAACAATCACGCCGAAGCTGCACACAGACGACTTCAAAACGAAATGTCCATAGATCATCTAACAATATGGAAATTTATTAATGCACTTAAAAAGTTACAAACAGGAAGGGACTTGTTTTTATGAACAATTACTATTGGGCCAGCAGACGCCTGCTAAATAAAAAAAAAAACATCGCGTTTGTGACGAGAAGATTTTAAAAATCGATTATAAAAAGAGAAATATAAACGAATATTTAAAAGCAATATCACATAATAATTATATTATGCATTTTTAATAATAAAATTAAAAGAGACATTTCAAATATATTATTTTGTATGAATTATTACCTACCTAAAAACAATGCACTTGGCGTCGAAACGGCCCGGCGTCGAAACGGCCGGCGTCGAAATGTCCTCGCGTCGAAACGGCCGCGTCGAAACGGCTTCGTCGAAATGGCCGCGTCGAAACCTCCTAGACCGGGCTAAGAGTGTGTAGATATTTAACCTTTACCAAAAGAAAAAAAAGGCTGTGCGTATTAATTAAGTCATAATATGGGTGACAAATTTGAAACAGGTAAGAGACCCATTTTTACTTTTTGTATACAGAGGGGGTCGTTTTTATATTTATATTATATTTGACAAAATGTGCAAAATTCCAATTTTTAAGAAAATTGTTTTACTAAAAGTTATTTGCGATATTGACCTTTATAATTTTTGTTTCATACATGATTTCTCTAAAATGGACCGTAATGGAAAAATTTGAGGAAAAGTGTAAATAAATTTTTCAATATTTTCGGTGGCAATGAATATATCAAAAATATTTTGAGTTAGATGTATGTAGAAAATGTATATACGAGTATTTACTTTATCCTCTAAACATTTACAGAGGTGATACTCGTACAATAATTTGTACAAAATAACCGGAAAAAGCTTGTAATAACTAGATAGGAAAGTCACGTGTTGGACACATCAGATTTTTCTAGATGTAATTTTGTAGACTTCCGGCGTCATTTGAGTGTCAAAACCTCCCTAAGAATGCAAAAAACGCCCTTTTTTAGAACTGTTCTCGGTATAAACGTTGTCTGGATATTGCCTAATAGTTCCATTTAACCTTTTTTTTTTTGGAGAGAACAGGTACATACCCTAAAGGTTTTAGCCATAGGTGCAATCTGTGGGTTAGGGTGGAAGGGGTAAAAGTACTTCAAAAATTGAAAATATAGCAAAAATAGTCTTTTTTCCTCTTTTTTTGTAGATTGGCTTTGGGAAAAGTGATCACGAGGTGAATAATATATCATTCCATAATAAAACTACCCCTAATAAAAAAAAGGATGTAAATGAGTGGAGGGATTAAACGAGGAATATTGGGATATGAAAAAAAAAAAGATACTGAATTTTTATAAATTACCTATAAATTTAAACGATCGGAAAACTAGATTACTAATTTTATAATTTAATGATTTTTTCTACACCCACTTGGATATTAGCTTATCTAAGCACATACTACAAAACGAAAAAGTATACTATTGTCATTAACTGAACGAATATATTTTATATCCAATGGATGCAGTGAGAACACTGCAAAAAAATGAAATCCACCAATCACAGTTCATATTTTGGTCACCTGACGACTATTGTTTTTAAAATTTTAAATAAGTGACAATTCTTTCAAACTAATTGTCAGAATATTTTTAAGTTATTAAATCAATAAATAATAGCATTTCTATTTTTATTTATACTATAATTATAAATAATTTGTTAATTTTAATAAAACTCTATGAAGTCAATTCAATTACGAGTAATAAAAAATATTCCCAAATATGCCGGTGGATGGGTGGTGAAAGTATCTGACTTCCACACGAGAAACTCAAGTTCGAGCCTCGGCTGGGACTTTTAAAATAATTTTTTTTTTGGTTTAATTTATTTTAAAAATTATTAAAAGTTATAAATTATTTTAAAATCAGTTATTTCGTCTTAATAACCTAAAATATTTTTTTTATTTGTACATTTTCGTTAGTGGGTCGTAGAAAAATATACTGTACAACTCGAGTGGATTGTCCACATCGCACTCGTCTTCGTGCGATATGGCCATCAGAGAGATGCACGAATTTGATTTGATTTTAAGAGTTTGACTTGAATTTGACTTGAATTCAAATCAAACTCAAATCAAACCTAGAAGTGCTTTGAATCAAATCAAATCAACTATAAAATTTTAAAGTTTGAAATATCAAACCTTTTGATCAAACTAGTTTGAAAGTTTGATTAATTAGTCTAATCAACAAGTTCAAAAGCGTTTTTTTGGGACATACTATTACGAAAATTATGTTCAATAGCTCATTCGATTCGGAATAATGTCTAGATCAATGTGTGAAGAAAAATTTTGCAGTGCATAAAAAATTGCAAAAGTTATAAACAATTAAACACGTCAAACACATGGTATTTGGTTTTTCGCCTATAGTTTGTAAACTATAAATATTTTTGGATTTTTCAAAAAAGATCCTTAAAGAGGAGGAAATTTGCTATAAATAAGTTTCGACTCCCGGAACTGTACCTCCATTATTTATAATTTTAATTTAACGCTCAAAGTAGCCTTCCGCGCGCCATTTTTAGGTTGCGCGCACGGCGTCGAAACCGATGATGGGTGAGGTTTTCCGGGTTTTCCTCTACTGTAAGTCAAATGGCACCATCAATCATCTTTAAGTCGCCCCGGAGCGCCACGGCAAATAATAATCACTTCCC